GAGTGAGGAGGAGTAAACATTTGGCTGAAGGCATATCTCTCTGTCCCAGGATTATCTGCTGAGTGCTGCAGCGCCCAATCCATGCTTGCTGGATCCCAGCTGCTCAGCAGCCAGCACTCTGGCTGGCTTTTCCCAGCCTTGCCTCGAGGAGTGGGGAGGGACATTTGTAAAAGGGTTTGTTTGGCATAGATCATCCCCAGTTTGGGGACAGCAAATTCTGGAGCAAGAGAGGACAGACTGGGACTCCAGTTCTTCCTGAGAGCCAAAACTGTGTCATTTTTTTCCCCCTTGGATTTCTGAAGCTCCCGGGGCAACAAGAGGGACGACACACAGAGATGTACATATTTGCAATGTAGCTGGATTTTACACTGTTTAAAGCCCACATAATATCTCAACTGTCTGGTTTGATTTCTTTTTCCTTGCTGAAATAAGGAAACAAGCAAAATTATTTCAGCTCTCTGTCTTTGCTTTAGCAAAAGAAACACAATGGTTTTTCTTAAGGCACAACTCCAAAAGACATAAAAGAAGGTGGAGGCTCACTTGTCACCCAGTGGTGAAGATGCTGGTTTTGGGTGTGAGTGACAAGATTGAGGTTGCACCAGTTGCTGAGAAAGGTGTGACCTGTGCCCTGCTGTGTTGGGACAGCTGAGGAGTTTGAAGGAGAGAAGAGGAAGGGTTCCTCATGCACTCACAGTACTGCTGTGTTGCCTTATTTATAAAAAAAAAGTCATTACGCTTTTAGCCCATGAGTGTTCACCTCAGTTCTGGTGATTTGAATATTCACTAATTATCAGAGACTCAAACTCTATTATTATGAGTTTTAGTAATGGCTCCCAGGATGATGGGAATGATATCAAGCAGCAGAGCTGAAGGAAATCCCATCTGGCAGGGACAACAAGGTCTCTAGTGTGGTTTGCAGGTCCCCCAGAGGAAAAAAGAAGGGAGTTGGTTGGGTTTGTACCTCAGTCTCATGTTAGCACTGGGTCCCTTGTTAGTACACCAGGAACAGAACTGCCACATGTGATTGCTTGCATCCTACACGTTCCTGAAAGACAAATCAAAAGTTGTATTTTTAACGCCAGAAATAGTTCTAATTACTTCCTGTTCACATGTACTCATCAGGTTGCACAAAGGTCTTGGACAGAGCACCCTTGCAGAGGCTTTAGATCCTGCACCAGCTCCTTGTGCCAACAATGCTTCTGCAACTGTCTCCTTACCTGCGAAGCTGGGCTTTGTAGCAATAATGCCAACTAAAGCCATCAAATCAGATCACCTCAGGGAACAACACTACCCCATTAGTTTGGGTTATTTTATCACTATGAAAAAGCTTAGAAATTTGCAAAAATACAGGGGGAATCAGTCATGAGAAAAGTTTGTAGATTTTTTTTTCAGTTTTGCAGTGGAAGTTTTCTCACAAACATTTACAATGTTCAGAAAATACTGTAAAAATGGAGAACACATGAATGTGCAGTCACCACAGCCCTCTCACTACCTTGGTAGTTGGTACAGAGGAATGAATGCAAATGGATGTGTGTGTGTGTGTCTAAGCTTGTCTTTTCCACTTATGTCTAGTCAAGTAATTGATTAAAAAAACCCTCTGCAATTTTATTATTTCATATTGATGGCTGACTCAGTTAATTTACGTTTTGCAGATATTTAATGATTTAGGGTAGTTGTTAATATTGTTTCATTATTATTAAGTAGTTCAAAGGCTGGGTTCAGTCTGAGCTTTTATTAATTATTTTAAAATTTAAAGTAATAAAAAACATTGCAGTGTGGGAAATGAGGAAAAGGCGAATGTATGAGGCAGAGTTATCAGTATCTGTTAGACAGCCACAGCAAGACTTCTGTCTCTTTCTCCTCATTTATTGTGTGTTTATTTGCCTTTTCTTTTTCCCATGATGCCAGTATAAAGGGGAAAATTACTGCTGAAATGAATGGATTTCAGCCTTTGATACAGAAAGATTACACTTCAAACAAACATGGAAAAGAATTTCTCATCTTATTTTGAGATTTTCATTGTCTTTAGTAGTAGCAGAATATGGCTTCAAATACATTTGGGTTCTGTGTTCTGCAGGAAATGTTCAAAATTATGTACAGCAAAATTAAGAATCAGAATGTGCCTTTCTTAAAAGGAAAATGGAATTTTCTTTGAAAACAAGAGCCAGACTCTAGTTGGAATTTCACTGGTGGGATGAGTTGCAATGCTCCAAGCCTTACAGCTGCCAAATATTCTATCATTGCAAAGCCAGGTTTTCCTCTAGCTCATTTGTACAGATTTTCCCTCTCTTATTTATATTTTTGTATATGTATATACACATGTATTTATATCCATTTAGTATTTTACAGAGCCTCATTTGAAATGGGGACTAGATGAAGTCTAAAACCTAATATCAGGGAATTTATCTTGAATTCCATAAGGATTTTTTCTATAGCTTTGTTATTTTTCTCGTTGTTGTTAAGTTATTAGCTCCATAGACACCTGATTCTTATTTCCTTGTATACAGTTTCCATCACGAGGCTGGAAATAGTGAGTCACAGATGAGTAGACTTGAGAAGGTGGTGGAGAGCAGCCCTGCAGGCTCATCAGCCTGACCCATGGGACAATGGTTTTGGCACAGATGATACTCTTTGCACCAATGAACTCCCAAATGCCCAAAGCCCTGTGAAGTTTATAAGAATTCAGTATCAAAACTGAGTCTAGTTTTCTGACTAGTTTCCTGCCAATAAGATAAAATGTTTCTTTAAAAAAAAAATAAAAACACAAACATTTTAACAATTCTACAAAATGCTTGAAAGAGGCAGACAGAGTTTCTTCTGTTTATAAACAGCTGAAAGATTCACTGATCATTTAACATAATTTACCAAAAAACCACACCTCAAATCCTGCCTTTTTGCTACGGCTGTAAGACCTGTTCAGACACCTCTCAGCTGAACAAAGGCAGGCACTGCATGGAGCACTTGGGGATTTTAGTGATTCAGATCCACCTGAACCCTGAAATCACTCTTTAGACCTTACTCAGGGATAATTCCCATTTTATGGAGGGGCCTCTCTGTCAGCTGTTGCAACTCCTGGCTTTGGTGACTTTTCCTTTTACTTTGTGCCAGCCCCATCCTATCAGCTGAAGTGGCTCCTGGTGTTGGTGTTTATTCCTTTTGTCATGTTAAGGAATCAGTTGGAGTTGTGACTCCCCAGAAGGACAAGGTGCAGCTCTTGGTGGAGATCTACAACAGCAGACTGCATTCTTGCTTTTCTTCTCTGTTACTTTTAGGCATGGAAAAATGCTTCCCTACAACACACATTGGTCACCACAGAAACACAGTGTTTCTGGTCCTGGAAGTGGATGATTTTTTTTCTGGAAATGGGTGGAAGAGGGTATTTCCACAGCCTTAAAGAAGTATCTTCCTTCTCTCCTCAACCCCCTGCTCCTCCTTTTCCTACAAAACTTTTAGGAACTCTTGAGTGCAACAGCAGGTAATGGCTTTTTCCCCCCCTTTCTTTGCAAAATTTCAGTAACCTGGATGGTAAACAGATGTCTACAAGCCATTGAACAGGCATTATTGATTTGAAACCTGATGGCCAGGCTGAAGAATGAGGAGAGGAAGTGGAAATCTATGTTTCAGCTTTGCTAGATGTTCTCAGGCAGATCAGACTGTCTGTACATCCTATTTCTAGGTTTGAAACGAGTGAAAATAAGACAGATCTATTCCACAAGTCTATTCTTAAGGTTTATTTACTTCAAGTCTTTGGCAACAAACAATGCATAGAGGCAAAGATTTTTCTTCTGCCTGTTTGCTAGATTTTGGGAAGGAAATTCCAACTTTGCCTGCTTCCTGCTATTCCAAGCCTTGCTCACAGTTTAGTCCATAAACCTATATAGGCCTAGTTGAATTAACTGGAGTTATTACTGTGATGAAAGACAGAGCAGTGTGTCAATTCCCTGCACCATGATAAACCCTGTGTCAAAACTGTGCAGGGATAGCTCTGCTTCACCACTGGGCCCTACTGTCATGGCTTTGTTGGGTCAAAAAAACTGAAAATAATCATATCCCCTCCATAGCTGTGCTGGTGAAACTTCAAAGGGCAGCACACAACTTAAGCAAGGACTATGGTATTCTTTCTGTTGTTGTGGCTCTGGGGATTTTGGGTGTGAGGAGGTGTGGTCCCTGATTGACAGGACATGGCAAAATCCTCGAGCACAGACACTGTTGTACCAGCCAAACCTGTGGATTTTGGTTGTGGGGCAAGGTGGGGCTGAAAGACTGCTCTGGTGAAATCTCAGTTTTAGCAATACCCTCTGCATCTGTAGGAGAAATGATTCTGCAGCGCAGCTCAGACAGGCACTCACAACACAGAGATGGCTTTGCTCAGCTGGTGGCAGAAGGGAGCTTTTTGGTACACAACATGTGTTATCAGAGTAATGGGTCCTTTCTTTCTTTTTAGCTTTCCCAGTCTGTTGCTGGATGGCTGCTGTTCCAAGTCACACTGGGCAGGTAACCATCTGTTAATGAGTAATCCTTGGTGTTGGCATTGATCTGGTCCATATTTTGCAATGTGATGCCATCTCCTGAGCGGGCTTGCTTGGAGCTCCTTGTTGTTGTTATACCATGCTTTTAATTAGCTCCTGAAGAGAAAGAGAAGGGAAATATCCAGATGATAAATCAGCTCTAGTTACAAGCAACATTGGATCAGCTTCTCTGGAGTTGCCCTTCAGTGCTTGCTGATTACACCAGGGGCCATCTCCAAGGGTCAGGCACTTTGTAAACTCTTCACTCCTGGTGGCTGAGGGGGAGTCTCTCCCCATGGGGCATTCCCTTCTACTCACAAAGACATTAATGATTAACAGTGATAACAGCTCTGCTTACTTAGAAAGCTAAAATACCTTAAAGTCAAGTAAATCACAGTCCCTTGTGAAAGCTTGTTCCTGATTCACCCTCCTGCTTCAGCCCAGCCCTGGAAGTTTTCCTCTGCCAGGCAAAACCCTCATGAGAGAAGAGCAAGGATGAAAGTCTGTGCTCCTCTCACTGTTGTCTTGGCTCTGAGTCTGAGCAGTGGCTGTGCAAGGATGGTAAGTGATTCTTCTCTTTCTGAGTGATGGATCAGCTGTGGGATACCTGGCAGGACCAGGCTGCCTTGGGGTTGGATGAGTGAAGCCACTGAACAGACCCAGAGAAAGGGAGATTGAAAGGGAACAGAAGGGATTAGCCAGGTGAAGGCTGACAGCAGTCCTCACTTAGTGGGGGCACTGTGGGATAGCTGCTACTACACCTTTCTGTCTGTGAAGCATTTGCTTACATCCATGCCTTGTTATGGAGGAGGAATGGGAAGGGAGGAAGGACCACAAAGACGGAAATCCTTTAAAAATGTATCTCAAAAATGTGTTGACACAAGCAGGTACCTGCAGTAGCATGGAGGGAGAGTGCTCCACTGCCAGACACTACTGCTGCCTGGTAACTGGACAGGCCAGCCTAGGTGGCTATCTTCTTCTTTTCAGACTTCTTGTTTCCATGCCAAGCCCCTCAGTGTTTTTGCATCATGTAACCTGTGTCTTTTCTGGGGGTACGTCTGCCAAGCCCCTGAAGCACTGCTGAGCAGGCTGTGATGGTCTGAATTTGCTAGTTTGCCTAAAGCCCACCACAGCCCGGCATCTACCATGGACTAGCAGGGCAGTTAGTTCACTGCTGCCTTATGGTCAGCATTGTGGCCTTAAGATCAGCCTTATTTCTCTAGCTGGGTTAAAACTAGCTCAGATATACTTAGATGGTGTTATAATCCTAATTATATCAGTGAATTACAAAAGTATGTCCTCAGACATTACATGAGGGAGCAGAGAGGAATGCTCGTGTTCATGGTAAAGATCATCCCTGGCTGGAGCCCTTGCTTGGTGGTGGCAGAGTCTGTGTAGAGTGCAAAAGCTTTTATTTCCTCAGAACTGTTCAAGCCTTCTCTATGTATCTTAGCACCAGGTTTTTCTTAACCCTTTTTATGTTCCCTGTCCAGTTCTACGTTCATGATGTGTGCTTCTTTGACTGCTTCTGTGATTTTTTTTTTTTTGCTGTAGCTCAATTGCCAGCACCTTCGGTGGCCACAGCACTTTTATGTGTATTCTCTTTTTATTATTTCCTGTGGCTTAAAATCAGCTCAGCCTGGTGCTCTCTACTTGCTGATTGGCAAACCCAAATACAGTTAGAAGTTGCTTTTGTAACTAATGCCCTGGGGGGATACAGTTAAATAGCAGGAAAAGGCAAATGTTGGGATATTATTTGTAACTGTGAACCAGCCCCAGAATGCATGTATTCTTCCTGCTGAGAAAAATAGGAGATGTGTCCCTTGGCAATAGAAAGATAAAATGGAGAAGAGCTTTGGCCTTTGTTGTGTCGTGCTGGGTTTTCCTGGTTTAGCTGGCACTTTTAAGAGTCAACATGTATCTATCCTCTTTCACCAGACTGTGCCCCACCAAAAATCAAAAGCAAATAATAAGATTTTCTCAGAAGCATTGGGAGAAAACACAAGTTGAGGGCACCCTGGAAAGTAGTTTTTTACCAGTAGCATGGTTCCCAGAGTGAATTTGTGTCTCCAATCCACATTCTCTTTTTCTCTTTGTAGCACTACAAATCTGAGGCAGGAAGAGGCTCAAGGCATGGGTTCACTCGCCCACAAGGTACCAAGTCAAATCCAATAGGTTTCATGACAGTAAGAATGGTCTGCCTGTCTGTATCCATGCTGTGCAAGCTGGTAGGAAGCCTGTCTTTGTTTCAACATGAATAAGGATTATAGAAGGGTTATGCCAATATTAATTTCTGTTTAAAGGGGAATTTGAGATTAGCTCAGGAATCTCAGGTAATTTTCCTTCAGGTGCAGATTAATGGTAAGGTGCTGATGGGATTTTAGTTGTCTGAGCTGGCATGGCTTTATATTATTTCACAAGGTGGTGTGGCTGAAGATGTGCAACAACCTTTAATCAGAGCTGCAGCTGCCCTGTAACTTTCAAGCACATTAACTCTTTGTTTGTACAAGTTCAGTTTCTACCCTGGCCCTTGATCTCTCTGTGGGAGAAGAGTTTGAGTTGCAGGCAGCTTTCTGGGTTGCATTTGTTCTAGTGGCACCCCAATGATCAGACGTCCTGGCTGTGGGAGAGCACTGCAGTTTCCATTTTTAAAGCTTTTATTGTCCTGTGCTTTTGTTGTTGAAGATTACATGCATTGGGCCATTGGGATTTATAGTTTATAACAGTCTTCAGTGGCCTTTGGGATGCAATATATCTTCTGAAGGGGGATGTATTTTCACAACTCTTCTGCCTGCTTGTACTGGGAGGTATCAGACAGAGAAAGTTGATAGTGGAACATTTGCTTAATTAGTTCAGAGAATGAAAGCTGGGGACGACAAGGGGATGGCTGTGGCTATTTCATGCTGATAGAGAAGGAGGCAGTTAGGGCAGAAGGAGTGACCATAATCCCAACTGATTAAGAGGGGTCGGACCACAGGGATAAGTTATTTTTTCTGTAATGCCAATAACTGACCTTAGCAGCTCTTTGAGATGTCTGGGTTCATGGGAGTTAACAGATATTGTAAGAGTGTGCAGGAGCCCCAGCCATCATGGGGGGATAAGCTCAGGACAAGAAGCAGTCACACATTGTCTCTGAGAAATGGAAATGTGCTGTGCTGCCAGTTTGGTTGAATGCCCCATTTCTCTTTTACGGCAGTGGTTGGCTTCCCATTCAGACTTTGGGATTTCAAAACAGATTACTTTTAGTTTAATGGTTAAATAAGATCTGACAGTTTTTCATTGTCTTTTTTATCTTCAGCCTCTCTCATTATTAAGACTCGAAGGATTTTTCCCTGATAGACTCCCACTAGCCTTCCTTAAACTCCCACCACCCTTCCTTAGATTGCCATCACTGATGTGGCAAATATAAAATGTGCCCTTTTTAGACACTGGTCCCATCAGTTTCTCCCCACTAGTAAGGAATCTGCTTATCCCAAAGGGAAGGTGTTGTGATCAAAATTCTCTCTCTACCCCCAACCTTTAAAACCTTCTTCCTCCTGACTGTTTCTATTTCAGTTTGTACTGTCTGGTTCCTTAATTATTTTAAACAGATATTACAATGTGATATAGAGCCTGAAAGGATACAACTTCAGAAATTATTTTAATATGCAATTACAATACTACATAATTAGAAATTATAATTGCAATTAATGAATATAATTGGCATTTGCTGTACCAGAAATGGCAGTATATTTTGGCCTGAAATGATCTCTTTGTTCCATTGCAGAGTCCATTAATCTTTGTTGATTCAGTCATTGTGTAAGATTTTAAGTTTCTTCTTATGCACTAGACATTGCAGAGACACAGAGTCCAGATTACAGCTGAAAAATTTGCAGATATCTATCTTCATAATTTCATATAATAGTATATAATATAATTTGTGGGTTGGTTTTCAGCTGCATTATGAGTTTTTTATGCTTGTATTTCAGTGTTTACAGAGGATGGACATTTATGCAAATTTCCTTTCCGGTTTGGCGGAAGGTTTTATCACACGTGTTTATCAAATTTATTTTCCAGAAAGAAATGGTGAGTTGACATTGCTCGTAAATGAAAACAGCATTCAAATGAAATGCCATCCTTTTAGTGCTTTAACCTTGCTTTTGGAGTCATTGCCATGAGCTGGATGTTGTTCCATCCAGGTGCAGTTCTGCTGCTGGTGGCCGTGGCCCTCGGGTCCGGACGCGCTCAGGGGGAAGGGAGCCCTGGCTCTGGATTTCCACAGCCACAGGAGGCTCAGGAACTGCAGAAAAGTTTCCTTGCTGCCCTGCCTGTTGGAACTGCAATTTACATGGGTGACAAGAGCTGGTACAGAAGAAGCAGGACTGATAGAATGGCCCTGGGAGAGACCCTCTGCTGAGGGAGAAAGGACAGGCACAGACCTGCAGGAGAGGAGCCTTGCTTGGGGACTGTTTGATTTGCGCAGGCTGTACTTGTACTGCAGCAGAGACCATCTGATTTTTGAGGAAAGCTGTTTTCTCCCCACCCCCATGTCTCTAATTTCTACCCAGATTGGCACCAGAACCCCTTTGGACAGTGCAGTACTAAGAAGTGAGGTATTACTCCTGTTTGTTGGTTAATGATTTATTCTACTAGTGTGTTTAAGGCCAATTTGCCTTCTTTTGGGCAAAGGTTACTCTTTTACTTTTGCAGAAGCTGTTAGAAGTATTCATGATCCATTTTTGGGGTAGGAGCAGTCAGGTGGGAACCCTACTAAATTAAAGCTCTGAATAAAAAAGATAAACTTTGCAGACAAACTCATATGATGGGCATATATTAACTAAAATCAAAGGCAACAAAGCAGAGAATATGTGGGTACCAGTAATGTGAAAATTATGCCCAGATGAGCCATGTGAAAGGCAAACACTTGCCTATTTTCAGGGCAGAGATAATATTTTAGAGTTTATTTTACTTGCCCAGGCAGGGTAGAACTCTCATTTTTTATACTGAACTGTCTAATTTTTTCATGATCTGTTGGTGTCTTTCTGATGACACATCTGTTTCAAGTGTAAGTGCTGGTGCAATGTAAACAACACAAAACAAATAGACACCAAGCTTCAGGCTAGGAAACCACTTCAGAATTTCCCCAATATCCACTGATACAACCCAGCTAATAAAAGCCTCCAGGAAACAAGAATTTGAGACTATCTTAAGTAAAGAAAGAGAACTGGAATAATTTACCAGTTTGAATCCTGTCTTTGATGAAATTTAGCCACAAAGAGTTTGACCTTAGTACCCACTTAATTTCATGCAATGCTTAAGAGGGATCCTGTTAATACATGACACTGTGTATTTGTTTTTAGCCAGTTAGGCCACAGAAATGGAAAAACCTGTCAATGGATGGAGTCCAAGGTTAGAGCACACTTTAGGGCTGACCTTGAACAACTTGCTCTTATGCTTCTGAATTTTTAAAAGCCATTTACAAGCAGGGAGACAAGGAGGAGGACAGCTGGAGTTATTTGGATTTGACAGACCATTTCACCCTATGGGTGACCTTCTGACCAGTGTTTGCTCATCAATAATAAGCTAAAAGCAACTTAATGTGTGACTTCAGGCACAGAGGTGCCAGGAAAAGAGCCCTGAATAGCAGTTGGGAAACCTGCTCTGTGCACTTTCTGTGTGACTTGGCACTAACCCAGGCTGGGCTTACACTGAAAAACTGATCCCAAGAGACCCGGCAGGCTCCAGGTGGGGGCAAGGCTGGTGCCCTTCCTGCTCCTGTCTCCTGCAAGCTGCTAGGAAGGGATCATGGGAGGCTGGGTCCAAACTGCTTCTTCAGGGATAAATTCCAGGAAACCTGTCCAGGAGAGCACTGATAAGTTCATGTCCTCAGTCCTTAAGTCATACTTTGGGTCAGGACTACAGGCAGGACTTTACAGTGCAGGCTAAACCCCACTCAGATTGGCTTGAGATTTATGTTTTCTCGTACTACATATGACACAGATACTGTGCTGCAGCATAAATCTGCTCCTGACCACAGAAAGCTCTCCCTACTTTGAGAGCAACAAACAAGCTGTATATTTATAAATATTTATTGAAAATACAGGAAAGAAGACAAAATAATTGCACTATTTAAATAACAGACTTCCTTTAACAGCATCCTGTATTGCTTTTCTCCTTAATTATAATCTGTTTTCACAGATAAATTTCCATTTAGTGGCCTATTACCAAGTCTTACATGATATCTTGCTAAAGATATAGTGTAAATTTTCCTTTTGTGCTGAGGAGAAAAAAAAATAGCTGGAATTGCTACTGAGTTTCATTGGTACCTCCAGAAAGACAAAGGAGTGTAGAGACAGACAGAATGGGGGTGCAGAGAGCAAAAAGGGAGGGTGGTCTGAACTGGACCGAGCTGTGGCTGCAGGGAAGCTGCCAGCACCCTGTCCCTGTGTCCCAGGGTGGGATGGGTTCCTCAGGGGAATGGCAGGAGCAGACCTTGCCTGAGATTTTGGCTATAAATGGGAAGGTGTTGACTCATGCCCTGCAGAAGCCTTATCCTGTGCTGGAGTTCTGGATGGGCAGGGCCCCTGTGCCAGGGTGAGTTTAGGTCTGTGGAGGAAGGACGTGATCTCATAATCTTCCTTGGAAACAAGAAGATAACTTTTGATACGTTGGCCACAGACTGAAAACAGTGCAGAGGACAGCTTTTTGGCCAGCTGGATTTCAGGATGGGGAGTTTATGACAGTCCTAGAAAGGAGAAATACCTGTAGGCTGAGCTGGAGATGTCAAGCATCAGGCTCTGAATTTTCCTGGAGCTGGAAGTGGTTGGTCTGGTGTTGTCAGGCAAAGTCTGGCTGTGTCTCATGGTCAGGACAACACCTAAAAAGGTCTCAGGCAACCTCCAAGTCTCAAACACAGCAACAGCACCAGGTGTGATGGCAAAGCTCTTTCCTTACACCTGTCTGCCTCAAGCCTGGGGCTTTGCTTGTTCTCCAAACATCCTATTGTTAGGGCTCCCTATGCTCCTGGTGGGAAAACCAGCCTACTTTCATTGATCCTGCCTGCCAGTTAGGCCTCATCTTTTGTTTGTCCATTCACATGCTGCTTACCATCTATGGATTTAAAACGTTATTTAAATCAATCCCTTGTAGTGGACTTTTCTGATATAATTAATTCAGTATCTCTGTCCATATGTTTTCACTTTCATACTAGCAATTTTATATGACAAGCTGATGTAAAGATATTTGCTATACCTTAAATTTTGAGTGTGGGTGCATTTGCAAATAGCATGAAGATATAATAAAGCCACTGGGTTTGGCTGCTGGAGGCAACATTCCAGAAGACTGAAATGTCACCATTTCATTTTTGGTAAGCCTCCAATCAGACAAAAAATGTTTAAAATAAAAGGAGGGAGACAAGTGAAATAGCTTTGAGGATGAGCTGAGATTCTCACAGAGAGTGAGATCTGTGGTGGGAAATATAAAAGGATTATGTCACTGTGCAAGGAGCTTGGCACTGAGGAGGCAGCTTGGCACCACAAGGGAGGACCAATCCCACTGTAGTCACTGCAAGGCAACAGGGAAGGACTGGCTGTGGAGAGCATCTAGTGGGAGGACCAGTGGTTTGTGGAGAGCTGGCAGAAGAAGCCTCTGTCAGAGTCTCTGACAACAAAAGATCTTTAAGATGAAAAAATTTGAGATTCCTCTTTGCTTAGGACTTGGCTGCTGCTGGACAGTGACACCAGCAGTTCTGAGAACACTTTAAACTCATTTATCCCCTTCATTCTTGTGCATGCTTGACCACCCTTGAAAGAAAGCACAATCCACTTCCAACTGAAGGATCTTTGAGGAATTTCCATCAGCTCCCAGCAGTTGCATCAGCCTTAATTCCTGTGAGAGAACAGCCTCTTTAAGTATGTGCCACATTAATTTGCACCAGACTTCCAAGCACCTCTTTTAGTGCACCTTATATGATTGAGGTCACCAAACTCAATATACCTGGCCTATTCAGATAGGAATTATAGGAATTATGCATTTTAAATACCACATAGCATCTAATTAAAAAGGAAAATAGGGCAGTTAAAATGTAGACATGTGCTACAATAAAATTTCAATCTAACTTGTGACATCCTAGGGTGAAAAATTTGATCACACAACTCCTCGAGGAATGATAAACCCAGGCATAATGGAAATAGATCATCAGGCACATTAAATAAACTCCAGTGTCCTCTAATGCCATGTAGCTGATATCTATAATTCTGCATTATAACTGGCTAGGGAGGATGTTTTGGTGGACTGGGAGAGGACATGGACCTCCAAGGTGCAGCCTCAATTCAGTCATGGGCTCCTTGTGTGTCCTCAGGGAAGCCTCCAAATCTATTCCTGCAAAAGAGAAAAGCAGTTCCATGCTCCTTGGAGTGCTCTGAGCCTGAGATAGACTGACACAGCAGACCACCAGTCAGGGTGTGCAGGACTCAGCCCCCTGCTCTCAAAAAAGGAGAGGTTTTATCTGGAAAATAAAAATGGAAATCACCACCAGTCAGTTATTTCCTCATTTCATCTTGCACGTTCCAAAATAAGAATCCTTTAAAGGAACTGAGTCTGAAAAGGGTGAAATATGCTTGTCACTGAAAGTCAGGGAAAAGTCCCTTTGTGGACAGCCTCCTGCCTCCACAGCTTATTACAGTAACTGTCAGGCATCAAAAATGGGCTGGGTCCTGTTTTGCTTGTTTTGTAATAAGTAAAGAAGACATAATTTATATGCTTTCGTTTTTTTTTTTTTTTTTTTTTTTTTTTTTTTTTTTTTTTTTTTTTTTTTTTTAATTTCTGTCTTTCATTTTCTAATCCCAGAAACAGGAAGAATGTTGGGTTTTTCTGAAGGATTTATTGAAAATCCTAGGTCCTGCATTTGCATCTTATTTTTAATTTGTTTTTAATATGAGACAAGTGGAGCACAGCAACTTTAACAAAAGAAAGAATATTTTTTCCTCGACTCTTAAGAGAATTTGAATGAAACTGATGCTAATTAGAAAGAAAAACCAAGCATGAATTTCCAGGTCGCCAGAGTGTGAAGGCGCTGTAGTTTCCGTGCAGACATCCAGGTTATTTAAAGATGCACTAAGCTGCACCTTTGATTCTTTTCAGGTGTTCAACAACACATAACTTTGACCGGGAAAAAAAAAAAATTTTATTAGTTTTTTTTTTTTTTTTTTTTTTTTTTTTTTTTTTTTAATTTCTGTCTTTCATTTTCTAATCCCAGAAACAGGAAGAATGTTGGGTTTTTCTGAAGGATTTATTGAAAATCCTAGGTCCTGCATTTGCATCTAATTTTTAATTTGTTTTAAATATGAGACAAGTGGAGCACAGCAACTTTAACAAAAGAAAGAATATTTTTTCCTCGACTCTTAAGAGAATTTGAATGAAACTGATGCTAATTAGAAAGAAAAACCAAGCATGAATTTCCAGGTCGCCAGAGTGTGAAGGCGCTGTAGTTTCCGTGCAGACATCCAGGTTATTTAAAGATGCACTAAGCTGCACCTTTGATTCTTTTCAGGTGTTCAACAACACATAACTTTGACCGGGACAGGAGGTGGGGACACTGTGATTTGCTGCCCAGAGACCACTCAGGTAAGGCAAGCCATGGCTGAGTTGCTCCAGGCACCTGGCTCCTACTTTGCCACCTGCAGCAAGGAGGGACAGTGCCTTCAGTGCAACTTTTATTTTTGTATTTATTTTGAAGTAAGCCTTCACATCAGCTCTTTCCATAATCTCTTTGTGATGCTGCACAGCCATAGCATTAGACTGTGAATATCACACAGTCTTTAATTCACGCTCTGTTGACTAACTCGAAGCCATGGAGAGAAATTATGATAATGCCAGCATGGAAATCTGAACTCCTGCTGGAGCCAAACACAAAGGTGATCATCTTCTCCTCCCTCATTGCATGGATGTGCCTTTCAGCTTTCCCTTAATTTACACAGCTGCATTTTCTCTCTGTTTGACCAGTTAATTTTTTTGGAAGGCACAGAAACATTTGACACCCTGTACAACACACAGCTGTCACTTCCAGCTTTCCTTTCTTGAGATCTCAAGGGAAAGAGCAGATCTCAAACCCAGACTTCCTTGAGCTTTGGGCTGTGTCAGAGAAGACAAGAGGCCAGACATGTTTATTGCAGGAGTCCTGAGGGATAATGAAAGGATTACTTGGCTGAACAGCTCTGTGGCTTCATGTGGCCACCACACTCCAGTGCTGCAATTACCTCATTGCGAAAGTCTGTCCAAAAGGGGAAGTCAAGGTCTGTGGCAAAGTCACCTTTATATATGAAAGTCACTTTAATTGACACCCTGGGTGAAAGTTCACCTGGGAATATGCATCCCTGTCCTTAGCAGTCCCTCAGTGACTGGCCTTGCTTATCTCTGTGTTCCTGGCTCCATGAGCTGGATGCTGGGGAATCCCATTTTATAAAGAATATATATATATGTGTGTGTGTGTGTGTGTGTGTGTATTTGTATATATACATATATGTGTATATATCTATATATCTATATATATATATAAAATCCTCATTTCATACAGCCACAGACCAGCTTGAAAAATCAGGTGTTGAACTGGTCCAGCTTGATGCCCCTGAGGCTTTTTTTGGATCTGTGTCTAATTCTGTTGATGTTCCTCTTTTTGCCCTCTCACTATTTTCAAATGAGACATATTTAGTCTGCAGGATATGACCAGAAGCCTCAGGTATTCACTTCCCACTTTCAAATGAAGGGCTTTTTCCACCAACCCCTTTCAGGGAGTTCTCCACAGTGTCAGGAGTCTTATTGCCAAGCTGATTGCAATCTGCCAGAGCACTTGAAAAGCCAAATTAGCTGAATCACACTGACAGTCTAAAATTAAGCAGCGCACAGCATCACCTTTTTTAACATAACTACTTTAAATTATTTTCCAGCCTGGCTTTAAAACAGATTAACAGTAGATCAGAGGCCAGTGACCTAGCCCCAAAGCAAGCAGCAATGTACACAACTTTGTAATGCAAGTGTGCCAGACATGAACAGAGACTTTATGGGCAGTTCATGCTTACAAGATTTAGGTTATGAGTGCTGCACTTAGTTATTCATCAGTGGCTTCCCAGAGCTTAAAATAAAAAAAAAAAATTAAAAAAAGAGTTATATGTGTGAGAAAGGAAAGAGAAAAAAGGATGGGGTAGCTGGAAGAGTTCACTGCTAGCTGTTGCAAAATAAAGAGAACCCCTTTATTTCTGGAAGCATTTAGAATTTGAAAAAAATAAATAAAATGTTTTTGGTTGTTGTTATATTTATAAACATAAATCTACTTATGTTTTTTTTTTTTTAAGCAGCAAGCACAGTTTTTGGATTTGGGAAATGTTTAACAGATCATTAACCATACCTTAAAGTGAACAGGCCTGTGATGAGGTTGAAAGGAAAAGCAACATAATGGATGAAGGGAATTTGAAGCAAAAAAAGGAAAGTTTGCCTGCTGTGGGAGAAATAAGCAGTCAAACTGAACACTGCTGATCTTTAAAATGTGTAAAATAATACATTTTTTTTTTAATCCACTGAAGTATTAAATCTTTGGGTGTTTTTTCTTGAAAAACAAGGAAAAATGGAATTTCAGGGAAAGAGTATCCTTTGGCCATAAGAGGTTGGTGAGCAGTGTATCCACTGGCATGGAGAAGGAGCTTCTTTAGAGCAAAGGTTGAAGCACAAACTCTCTCCAGGCCAAGAATATCACACGTTTGTCACAAGTCAACTTCAAAACATTGGAGGTGCTTACAAATCAATGTTAAGCAAGCACTGGAAGCTTTGATCCAGAAATATACATCTGCCAAATTCAAGGGGAAGTTTAACCAAGAGGCCTTTAGCTCTAGGATGAAGGGAAGCCTGGGTAGGAAGTTTCTGCTGTTACTAGCTCACATGTATGTACAAATACCAACCAACGTGAAATGCCCCTAGAGGTGGGATTTCCAGATTTTGGGCAGTCTGATAGGACACTTCTCTGAATGTCTGGAAATCTCGGACAAGTGGCCAAAACCCCAGGGGAGACCCAAATACAGGGGAGAAAATTGCCAGACAGTATTTTTAAGATCCCTCTGGACTGATGTGGAAAGAAGTAGTACAGTGTACAGTAGTACAGTGGTGTGAGCTGTGCAGGCATCATCCCAGGAGGAGCTCTGAGGAAGGTGGGTGGCATAAACAGAAAGTTCTTGATGGGAAGTATGGGCAGAAAGGTGAGACAAGGCTACTGCTCAGTCAGCAGAGACTCACAGAGGTGGAGCTGCAGTCAAGATGAGAGCTAGCAAGCATGGAGTGTTTTATCCATGAGGGTGCTTTAGACAGTGCTGAGAAAGCATGGACTTGGCACTCCCCAGTTAATGGATAGTTAACTGTGGGCAGGATTCCCCACTGGGAACTGAGATGTGTCCATCTGCTTATGAACAGAAGTTGTTCCTGGCCTCCAGGAAAGATGTGGAGAAACACAGAACATGCCTGGAAGGTCAGACTGGAGTGGTGGGTGGGATGTAGTGAGAAACAGATTGAGAAAGAAATAAATGAGTGGAAGTGCTTTTTGCAGATTTAACAAGAGTACAAAAAATTTCTTGAACATTTGTTACAGCAGAAGATGGCTTGGAGATCAGGTCATGGTTTGGATGCAGTGGGAATAGGAAATACACGATTTTCCTTTGAGGAAACATTACAGCACTAGAAGTTTCATAACTATCAACAGCAGGAAGAGTAGGAATGTCACTGACTTCACTTGCTTTCCCTTGATGTTATCCTGGATGGAAGCTACCAGTGAAGAAGACCTGCTATCTGACAGGAATTACATCACTCTCTTCTGAAGTAAATATTTTGATCCCTGCAGGGGAACTTCAGATTTACCCTGCTGTAGCAAACTTCAGGATGCAGCCTTTGTGCTTCACCTCAGCCCTGTTGTTGTGCACCTGTGCCTCTGTGTGTTGCATCTCATGCTCAGGACACACCTGGATTGAGCAACCCTGGGGATGGCGTAGCAGAGTTTGACTAGCATTAAAAAGGAAGACTTGAATGCAGACAAGCTGTTGGGCCAACTCTGGAGTAGGTGTAAACATGCTGTTGGTTAACTTCAGGGGATATACATCCCTTGGCACTGCCTGAAATCAGAAACACTGCCTGACCAGCAAGACTCTTACTACTTTTACATTGCACATTGCCAAGTAAAGCTTCTATTGCATGAGCTGTCCTGGCATCTATCTCCTCTCCCACCATGTTTTCCCATCATTCAGAAAATTCCCCAGTAAATGGAGATATGCTAGACTGGTCGAGTTTTCATCTTTCTTGGACTTATTTACTTTGACATGTAAATGGAGATACAAGCATCATAATGTCACCCCAGGACAATGTGCTCTGTGGTTTGCTTTATAATTTTTCCCTTGGTTCCAGCTGTCCATTAGTTTTCTACAAGATCCAAAATCCCATAGCAAACTCTTCCGCCCAGGGTTGTCCTTTGTGCGGTCTGGAAGCGATGTGTGTCAGTGCGTGCTTTCAGTGCGAAGGAGACGCGCGGTGCCGGTGGCGGTGCCGAGGCTGCAGGGAGAGGCCGGGCAGCGCTGCAGCCTTCCTCCCTCCCTGCCTCCCTCCCTCCCTCCCCAGCGCAAAGGCACAGCTCCATCTTGTGGGCACCTGTCCCGGCTTCTTCCTCACCACAGCGCCAGCTCTGGGGCCTCCAGGTGTGCCTGGACCTACCCCCTTCAGACAGCCTAGTCTGGGGGGTGAAGGCTCGGCTTGGTGATCTATCGCATGGTTTTTAAAAGCTGGATAAATACGTTTCCAGCTGTTTTACAGCTGGAAACAACCCCACAGTCAATTGGTTGGACAAACTTAGTTTTACGTTAGTAGGTGGTATTAAACCCACTGAATGTTGAACCAAAATGGTTCATGGAGCCAAAAGGACAATGCACGACTTATACCATACTTATTAACAACAACTTCTTATGTAGCCCCTCTAGATCACTGTGCAGACAACCCCTGCCAGAATGGAGGGACCTGTTCTCTCAGTCACGGCCACAGGATGTACCACTGCACCTGTCCTGAGGAATTCACAGGCGAGGACTGCCAGCTGAGTAAGTGTCTTCTACCACGAGTGTTACAACATGAAATATGAATAGTAAGTAGAGCTCATTAATGTTTGCTTAATGAAAAGGTAGTGCTGTTGTGATGGGAGAGACCACTGCAGCACGAAAGTTTGTGTAGGTGGATTTCCAAATGGTTATGACAGACAATCCATTCCTGACAGGACAACTGAAAATAGCTTGACTGTGCAATTATAAACCCAAGTATGCTCTGAGTATGGGAAATACAAAAAGCCTCTTCCCCTTCCTTTGCTGTTTTTAAGATTTAAATATCCCTTACATGTTTGGAAATTAATATAATGTCTGGTAGGCAATGCACAGAGACGTGAAAAAGCAGCACAGTTTCAGGTGATGCCTTATCCCTTATGTAAAAGCACATGCTGGGTACAGTGATGATGTCCTGCCTACCCTACAGGGCTTTAGGAGAAAGCCACCTCTGTCCTGAGGTTCCTGGAGCTGCTGCTCTCCTGGCTCAGTGTCTCCACACTATGGAGGCTGCCTAGCTTGAGAAGAACTGTCAACAAACATGGATCTGCTCAACAGGAAAAAGGGGATGAGCAGGGAATGATAATAGAGATTGTGGTGCCATTTCTTGCAAGAAATAACATCTGAAATCTTGTGTTTTTTGTAAAATTTCGTTTCAGAGAAATGTTTTGACAACAGTCTCTACGAATTCTTTGATGTGGGTGCGAGCTGGTCAAGAGTCCAACAAGGAGCAGTGGAGCAGTGCAAGTGTGTGCACGGCCAGATGGAGTGTGTTCCTGTGGAACACAAAAGTAAGGCACCTTTTGTACCACAGCTGGAGGTCTGCATGGAGTGTGGATAAAGGACAGTGAGGGATACTCAAAGCCTGAGTGGTGTTGCACGCCTAATTCTGCCCTTGCAGCTCATCTATCCTCTCTGAAAGACAATATTTTAGCTTTCCTTTCCAAGAGTGAGCAGTTATACTGACCCAGGAAATCCCTTCAATGTGTCCATCCTCATTTGAAGAAGCAACTATAATTATGAGGAATTTTAGAGATACACAGTGTTTTATAGAGAGGGAAGAAACCCTGATCTGCAGCATGTAAGAATATACAGATTATATAGTAGAAGTGGTAACATTTTTTCTCCAAAACTATAACCTGTCTGGGAGGCACACCCTGCACACCAACAATCACTTCATATTGCTGTTTTGCCTCTGTGTTTCTTCCCAAGTCCATCCCACTCTTGAATTACCAGCATGTAAATTTTACTCGCCTCAAAGATCCCATAAGGCCTGCATTGGCTCCAGAGTCCCCATGATTTTTGGCCCATTCCTGGCAGGGGTGATGCTTACATTATGAAGCCTCCTCCTTTTTTAAGATGCTGCCAGGAACCCAACACCCTGGCCAGTCAGCACAGGATATGCACTTTTGGTTGTCACCCACCTGAAGAACCAGCACAGCACCTTTCATTTGGAGGAGAGATGTTGGGAAGCAAACCATGTGCCTCACCTGCACCTGTGCTCTTCCACAGCTATTCTGTTACTCAGCCTGGATAACTTTTACCCTGCTCAGATTCACAAGTAGGACACAGTACAAGTTAGTTTCCTAAAAGCCCTTTGAAATATGTAGGTGCTTTATTCCCACCTTATGCAATTGGAAACTAAAGTGTGGAGAGTCAGTGGCTTTCTAGGACATTAAGAGTCCATGTGAAAGTTGGGAAATTTGATAGGACTGAATACTTCCCAATCACAGATCTTAAATATTTAACTGAGCTCCCTATTAGATATATTATAATAAATTCTGATAGAGCTCAGTAGTAAGTTTGGAACTGGTAGAACCCTCTGTAGAGGAAGAAATGTTAATACCATCTCCACTAGTAATAATAATCACCACCCCCATTTTACCTATTGTTCATGGATAATAGCTTTCTGTAGCTGACATTATCCAATAGCACTGAAAACAATGAGACAGACCTTAGCAGGCAGAAATCAATTGAGTTGCCTTTTCTTTATCACAAGTGTAGGTCTGACATAAACAAAGAATAAAAACTTCCCCCAAATGCAGATGCACAGAGGAGATGCCCTAGAGTAAGTTAAAATGGACTGATTCTCTTCAATAATTTGTACCTTTTGTTTGATCATTGGTTGTGTTTTCTTGTAGGTTGTGTTCATGATCCTTGCATGAATGGTGGAGAGTGCAAGATGGTTGCCTCCACTGGGAAAATAGTATGTGATTGCAAAGAAAATTACGCAGGGAAGTATTGCAATATTGGTAAGTATAAAAGCCTAAAAGCAGACAGAATTAGGAGTTTTCATCTGTTTGTAAGGCTGGTGGGTTTGGCTCTGTTGTATTCAGTCTTTGAGGACATTTCTGGTACCAACTGAAGAGTTACACAGAACAAGGGTTTAATGTATTTCTCCAGTGTAAAACATAACACACACTTCACCACTGAGACTCTGGTTCTAAAAATATTTCTTTCATGCCCTTCACTTTATAGAAAATCAAACAGAAATTTAAATCCAATTACACATGCCTATAAAATAAGTGTATGCTTCCATTTTGCAGAATCAGTCACAGTGTTGTACTCTAGAGCTACTGCCTCCCTACAGATCCACACATCCCCTTATAAAGCAGGGATTTACATCTGACAAAATCTAGAAGCCATTCTTTGGTAGCACTAAATGACTGTGGGACAAAGAAAATGCCACCCTTTGGGTTACTGCACACTTTAAGTTAATAGCATGTTTAGCCCAGTACAGGCTGTACAAAACCCCTTCCTTTCTCTGGTTGGTCAGGGCAGAGAAATCTGCGTTTTGGTATCTATGTGTAAGTCCTGTTTTGCATTCTAGATGCTACATAGTTTTAATACAATTTTCTTCCAGAAGACTTAACATTCATCCCTGCAGGCGTTAAATCTTGCTTGTATGCTATACCTGCAAGTTATGCCAGTGGCTACTTTTAAAAGAAATGCACGTTTTAGGCATAAATTTTAACAGACCTTCAGCCACACCATCCTGTGATGCCATCAATTCACTGGCTGTGTCTTTCTGAGTGCATAAATCCCATGGCTTATCAAAACTGAGGACATGACTCCCAGTCGCTCTGGTGGGCACTTTCTTAATCTGAATGGGTGGTGGGGCAAAAAACCCATTAATGAACACTGCAATTTATATCTGGCATTCTTTTTGTTACTCTGATAGTTAAAAAATGGTGTAGCTAACTATTCTAGCTGGGGAAAAAAATTCCATTTGGGAGACCAGCAGTGCAGCTGGAATGGCAAATAGCAGGAGTGAGTGGGTAAATTGGACAGTGTATGAGCTGGTCCTGAACATTCCCTTACCAGGTACCAGTAACATTCACTTACCTGATGAGTCATGAGAAATGGGTTTGTGACTCTTTTAAGTCCTTCATAAGGAGCACTATTTTAGCTTAGTTGTTTTGTCCTTTAGTTATCCTGTCCCAGGCTTGGGATTGTCCCAGGCTTTGGGAATGCTGCTGCAGGGGTCTGGGTGAGGGGCTGCACAGGACACGTGTGACCTGGAGCTTGGGGCAGGGCTGCACTCTGCTCATTTTCACATTAAACTGCTGTTCCAATTCCTGTTTTATTATCAGCTTCCCCTGCCCCAAGCAGCAGTGGTGCACAGATTCTTCCACCCAGCAGTGCCTGGATCATAAATATCAGGACAGCAGAGTTACAGCTGTCAGTTTCTGACTAGCTTAGAACAAGAAATAAGCAGGTGCTCTTTGATTACTTGAAAATAATAAAGCAAACATTTGGTTTGCTAAACAAGTGGCTTTGGATGCTTACAATCCATCTGCATTCAGCTGCCTAACACCCCTACACAGAATGGGAGCTGAAGGATTGTGTTTGTGCGTCAGGGCCTTGCAAAGAGTCTTAAAAAAGAAAAACTCTTTGTCAAGATTGAGTAATTATAAATTAATGCAAATAAATTAGTCTTCAGGTCTATAGACCTGGTACTACCACCACAGCAGGGCAATGGCATTCTGGTGAAAATGCTACAGCCTTGTATTCTCAGAGCACTCAGAAATTATTTTTAAATATTTGTTGGATTGATTTTTTCTTTGACCCTTCAATTTGATGCAGCAAACAGAAATGGATTTTTTTTCTTTGTTTCCTTTTTACTGTCTTGTATAGTTTCCCTTGGCTAACAGGATGTACTTGTGAGGTTACCCTTTAGGTGGTGTAGTGCTTGATTCACAGAAAGTGTAACAGTATTTCCTGTCCAAACTGTACTTTATTCTGAATTATCAGTTAAAGAGGCAACCTTAAAGCCAAGGCGTGATGTGAAAATATCTTCTTAGATTTTTTTTTAAAGGAGAAATCAATAAATTTAATAAACAGGAAGTCTCCCAGACTGTTATTGAGCTGTAATGTGCTTGAGGTATCCTCTGCCCTTGACTTGACTTACACAAAGAATAACCAGCCTTCATGTGTGTCTAATGGAAACTCAGCAAATTTATCTTAACATTATACTCAAAAATATTAATAAATGAAGTACCATCCTTCATGCAGCAGATCACAAGCCTAAGTACTGCTGTGCCTCAAGGACTGGTACAGTAGAATGAGGAGCAAAAACAGGAGAAAAATACTGAAAACACTTCTCTTGCTTGAGGACTTAGCAGATGCTTGGACCATCATATCTGTCAGACTTTTACCTGTTTTCCATGTATTTTTCTAAACTCTTTAGTACTCCTTTATGCTTTTCTCTTTCACAGCATTCCATGTCAAAAAGTCCCTGAATATAAATAGATGTGATGAAATGAAGTATTTTCTATTTTTAACAAAAAAACCTACTGCCTGGTAATTTTATTCTTCCCCTTTGAACAATGAGTAACAGAATAATCATAACTTTTGTGATTTTAAAGATACCTATTTATCTGTCCATTGCTTTTTGGACTACAATATCCCTGCCAGTACTCAAAACTCATCTTTGATCTTAAAATTCTCTTGCAAACAATCATTATATGTGTGTGCATGTGTATGTGAGTGTATATATATATATATATATTTCTTGGCCATCATCATAAATGACCATATAGCTACTGGAAAATTATGAGCTGACTTAAAAAAAAAAAAAAAAAAGAGAGATAATAAAAGTAACAGAGGAGATATCCATCACAAAGGAGGTTGATATACAAAAGACAGTTTTTAATATAGATTCCTATTCTTTGTGGTAATACATTATTTTCTTCTTAAAGAAGAAACTTGCAGTACCAAAGAAAGAACTGCCATTTAAAAAGTGCTCTGAGACAGTTTATATGCATAGGATTTCAGTGAAGTTTAATTCTGAAAGAAATTAGATGCATCACCAACAAATCTCTCGCCAAAGAGATGCTGTTTAAAATTGTTCAAGGACCCATGTTTACTTAAGTTCAATAAATGATAATTGCCCTTAAATATGCACCTATTTTCAGAAATAAGGATTTTGTGCTAAAAGAGTAGCTGCATTCTCTTTGGAAACAGCTCTTGCTGGGACAGCTCTGAATCCAGGCTCTAGGTGAAGATTCAGAATCAATTGTCCAATCATGTGCAGCAATTGTCTCATTGAACACAGAAAGTTATCAAAAGGGCCCAAATCCAACGACTTTAGCAGTGGTAAATGTGGGTAAGACGTGAAGGCTGAGAAAGATGTGAGTGGAATATTTTATGTCTAGCCCAGGTTGGCATAGAAAATGGAGAGTGAATTTATTTGGTAGATAATTAACTTCATAAATATTTAGCTTCACTGGAGGTGATAATTGATGGCAAACAGTTATAATATGTAATTGTCAAATTACTTTGAGATTTTATGTTTCTTTGAACAGACAGGAACTATGGTGATGTTGGATACACAGCTAAAGACAGAGGAGGAGCTCTCTGGCCAGAGGACAGATAATTCATTATAATATGCATTTATGGAGAAGTTAAAGGGGGTTAAAGCATAAAGAAAGGAGATGTAGAATTTTTTTTGGGGCTTAGTGCCTTTAAGTTTCTGTGGTTGAAACCCCACCATGGCATTCGCAGTTATTGCTTTAGTTGAATGGAATGTGAATGGAAATGAATATATATTTTGCCAGATTTCAATGTAAAAGCACTTCCTTTTTCTTACCACAGCTTTGTTACTGTTGGTTGGATGTCAGTTAGTAAATTTGGGGTACTTATTTGTATTTTAAATTTATTCCTGATGTATTCCTATTTATGCTTTATTTATATTCTGATATGTTAGTGGGGTATATTTAATCTGTTACTTAGTCACCAAGTCTTTTCCTGAAGCATTTGCTCACTGTGGTTGTGGGTTGCACTGGGTTTGAGTGTACTGGGAGCACTGCACAGAGGATTAAACATTTTGAGTTTTCTTTGGATTAAGGTTTAGGTAGTCATAATGATTTTGATAGTATTTTGGTCATGATGAAATGTGAAGTTGGTGAAGGTATTTTTGAAACCTCTGCTTTTTTGGGGTATTTACCTCATTTTTGGGGGTATTTACCTCATTAGGCTATGGAGAATGGAATTAGAGGGGACCATATCTTTAAAGAAAGCATGAGTTGGAATGCTAATTGTGGAAGGCTTTTGGTTATGTAAGGAGATGTGGTGCATGTCAGAAGCAGGTTGAGGATTTTCAGAAAAGGAAGATGATAGAATAGCTGAATATATAATGACATAGAGGAAAAAAAATCTTCTTGGCCACATCTTTAGGGGTTAAACTGGAGGAGTTTGAAGTAATAGAATTAGCAAAAAAATGACAGCAAACCCACCTTTTTAGTGGTTCATTTACTGAAATAGCGTGTTGGCAGTTTTCTACTAAAAAAGCTACTTGAGTAAAGGAAATTCAGCTCTGGAGGCTGGAAGGAAAGTTTTAAATATTTTTTTATTTTCTGAAAAAGACATAAGATAATGAATTTTAACTTTTGGTTTATATTTACCCTGTACTAGAATGCTTTTGGATTAGTGTTTAATTTTTTACTTTCTAGAAAAGCAGGGGATAAAAGGGTGAAGTATAATAACAAGGTCATTTGGCTGACAATGATAAATGGGCATTTAACTGGTCAGTCAGTCCCCCACTGAACTTGGACAAGTAGGCTTGTAAGTAAGACTTGAAAAGGGTTTTTAAGTGAGACTGAGAAGATGCTTGTTGCTTGCAAGTGTGAAGCACTGGGCTTAGTAATGAAACTTGGCTGGAAAAGAATAAAGTAATTATTTCTCCACAGTTGCGGAAAAATAGACGGAACAGCAGATAAAAAAGCAACATTATGTATTAATATAGCTTGGA